GGAAATTTATGTATGGTCTAGCCAGCTCGACTTATGAAAGATCTTTCCTTCAGGGGATAGATCCCCACGTCGTCGCAACGAAACATCCAAGAAACGCAGTTTATGGTCTTCCTAAATTTTCTATGTAAATGATAACATTGGATGAGGGTTGTTAAATTGATTCGACTGGTAATGATGGTCAGTATGAGAGTCAGCAAGGGTGAACATGTCATCCAGGTAGCATTTGTTCTACTCAGACGATGTGCTTATATGTCCGATAAGTCCGCTTACAACTTTTGCTAGCAATCTCTCTGAAGTAGCATTTCTAAGGGCGATCCAATCGCAACTCCCGCTGTTTGTCTAAAATACTTTCCACCAAATTGCAGCTGCCAAATTTGCAAAGCAACATTAGCTTTATCAAATATCGGAAAAGAATAGGAGGAAAAAATATTTTTCCGTCAGGTGCCCACTGAAAAAATAAAATTCAACAACGGGACGTACGGGGAATGTGCTTTTACATCAAATGATAGTATAAACTTTTCTTTCACATTTATTATTGTGACGCAGTATCGTGTAATTGGCTACATAGCTTTCGACTTGTTTGTTCATTTGCACTTGTCACAAATGAACAGTTCTTGGAGGTTTATTTACCCGACATGATTCAACTTTATAAACTTTAAAACTTCAAAGGTTAACGTAGTTGGTAGGCAGTTATACCTAACCGCTAATTTTTGCCATCACAAAACCGGTGGAAACACTGCCGCCAGATTTAACAGGAACGTTTCCCACCAAACAATTCTGATAATGATGAATATTGGAACGCATTGATAAAATGTTTTCAATCCCAATGGTTCACATTTTCAAGTCCAACCTGCGCATCAGTGTACATGGCGGTACTGAGGAAACGTCTGCGCCACTTGACAATACGGCTTCCTGGCGGGTATACCGCACACGTTTACCTCTAGTATAATTCAGGATAGAAACATCGTGACAATGTTATTCTCTCTGATACACTGATCCGTACAAACACTCAAGTGGCATACTACGTTGACCAAACCGCTCGTGTTTGACTGATTTTCTATCTAATTCATGCTGCTTTTGAGCAGATTTGCACTTGAGCTAACAAGACTTGTTTTGGCGAAACTCGGTCAACCAAGTAAACGGTTTCGATAAGATAATTTGCTAATAACATTAAAAGGGTTGGAAATAGGAAATTCGTGCCAATTAAAAAGGAACACTTATTATAGCTACTGCATGTTACAATCCAAATTTGCGCATCCCAGTCGTCAGTAGTGGGCTAGAATCGGCTACTCCACATTACAGAATGAGTGGCTGAGACTAGTTCAATAGTTGATTTGCTCAACGAGCTTGGCACTTGGATTGCAGCCGCTTCTTCACCTATAGAGGTAACATCATCAATGCAGGAGAAACGCTTTGGTATTATTTATTGGCAGAAACCTGTGACTAGTACTCGATTTCTGTCTCATCACGAAAAAGCTTTGTTTTCGAACACCGTCCATTGTAACTTGAAGTTGCACATGGCCATACGGTGTGAGTGTTCAGCTACATCTTTGTTAGTTATTGCTTACGGTGTGCATTGTTCCGTGGATACAAAGTGGTTTTAATCACTAACTTGTGAATGAAGGTCCCTATTTTTAGCCCCTCGGCTGACGGATGGAACGTGCAACATTGATGGATACCGTTATAACGGAATCGATTGCGGGATACGTTGGCCTCTAGTCTAATTATGGTCGATAGTATAGGTTTTTCTAAACGCAAACTAGCGAGATTTTTGATGAGAATAGTGCAGTTCCTGACCAGACGAATGAGTACGCTTGTCAAACTCGTACGATTTTGCCCAAAAGATGGCGGTGCTTACAATCGAGCCGGATGAACTGAAGGTAGGGTTTGATGTCGCGATTTGTATTATTCCTCAAAGAAAAGGCGATAGAGTTTGCAAGCCGCTGCCTAGAAAACCGCAATACATAGGGTGAGATATCAAAGCTTACAATTGATTAAATAGTTCAGGTCGTGACACTGTGCCTTAGTATGTCCTAATTCGTTTCTCATTAGACACTCTGACCCCGGGAACAATGTCTGACAGTGGACTCGCCAAATCACTTGTATTTGCGAAATTATACACGGATGACTTCAAGAAGGCAATAGCAAAATTCCATGCCTCGCCGAACGTTAAGTTGTGTTACATAAACGACACTGATGATAACAATGGATATAAACTATGATTAGCGTAAGCACCTGGATTCTACTGAGAGAATATGTTTCGGTGTGGACTTAGTGACATGCAGCGGCACGATGAAATTCCTTCATTGCTTAATTCATGGAAATGAGCGAATTACAAACAACAGTCTATAGTAAGTCGACTGATAACAAGTAGATACTCCATTGCATTGCAGGTCAACAAAAGCACGTTCATGATTAGATAGTCTCATCGTGGTTTCGCAAGGCACAGATCCTGAGCACAACGAAAGGGAATAGAAGAGTCGCACGCAAAGAGGCGATGATCAAAATAGTAGACAGTGGTTATTCGCGATGTCATGTGAAACGTCAATCACAAAACGCATTAAACCCACAGGAAATGTCTGCAAGGCAGTGAATTGGAAAGGTGTGATTTCCATATTGAGAAGGTACTTCAGGAGCAATTCAGAGGGTACTGAACAAGGAGGGCATACGGGTGATTTACCTGCGTAGTCAAACCTTATGTTCAAGGAAGGTGCGCTTGACTCACCTCCTTCCCACAGATAGGACGACTAACTGTATGCACAAACAACTACGTACAAAGGCTGTTCACACGTAGATACTGATCAGGTGGCGACAGAACTACGAACACAGACCTTAGAACATGAAATAGCTAATGTAGAGATTGTTTGTAGTGGTATACAGACGGAGCCACAGTGGTTGCCCTAGTGATGGCCGGAGCGATCTTAATCGTCAAGGCCGGTATTTTGTATGGATAGAATAGAGAAATTGTAGATCTGGAGTGCATGGAGAACATTCTTAACCTAACCAGTCCGGCAAGCTTCAATACGCTGGTCAAACCGGATATCGAATGTCGACATATCCATCATCATCGTCACCGGGACCGTACTTGGTAGCAAGATGGAAGTTGCAGCGCCTGTAAGTCACAGTCTAACCGGACCACATTTGATAATTCCTCACTTATGTCTGTAAGCTTCCATTGACTCATGTCTAGATAGTCATGCTTGTCTCCACAGCAACTAGTTACCAATTAACTTAGCCTTACAAATCATTGAAATCAAAAGCGAAACATTTCCAAACAAATAAATCAAACGATTTTCGCAAACCTCTCTGAAGTTGTGCTTATGGATCTGTTCCAAATGTGCTCCAAGATTTTGAGTACATGCGACGAGTGGCCTGTGTGACTGAACTAATTGATAGGGAGAAACTATGCTTGCTTCAATAAGCAGTTGACAAACATCACGCATTCGGCAACATAGCGATCTCTTGGAGTTGATGATTAGAGCTAGCAGATATAGACATTACCACAAGATATAAAGCCGCATACCTCATCAGCTGAAACTAATTATTATACCAACATAACCGTATTTCACCAAAGAAAACTACTTCACTGCTAACGGAATTTTCTCCACTGATCGACTAATTAGTGCTGGTGTTCTCAGTGTCAAAATGACGCCGTGGATTCAGCACAGTCGCCCATTTTAAAAAAAAACAGTTTTCCAAGAATCATGAGCTAGTAATATTTTAGTATGTTTCTGAGGGGGACAAATCACGTGCTGGGAGAGATCCAGTGCCCGCTGTGCTTAGAATACACTTTAAAGATGCCCATTAGCAGTGACACTGCAAAACTAGGAACTCTCAGTAGTTTAATCTCTAACAAGCATAGCACGTTCGGTGCTGTTGAACTCAACATTATCGACCGAAATTAAAGCTGCCGCGGCCATTCACTGATGAAAACAGCCCATAGGTGACCACGCGAAGTGCGTATACCAATTCTTGTGTAACCGCGAAGGAACTTACATAGGCAGAACCGATATACCCCGAATTCTCGAAAAAACGAGCACGTGTCAAAGTGGATGCAAAGCGATAGGGCTCAACAAGCATGCCCAGCGCAGGCTACGCGTTCACACTTGCTGCGAGTAGCTAGCATCGGCCGACACTAATTGACCCTCGTTCACCGGACTGAAGACGGCATATCATCCGAAGTTCAGCACACCAATTACCGTCTCGTTCTTTTCATCGAAGCCGTTGCAACAGTATGGATCGAACCCCGGCTTTACGTTCCAAAGCAACTGTCTGTCAACCTCACTTCGTCCTAGACATAATGATAGGAGTTCTAATTTTCTCTACTCGTTTATTTGCTTGTCCGCATCAACTAACAGTTGTAAGCAATTTTCAAGTATCCTTATCGGTAGTGAAGTGACGAAACAAAGTGCACGTATCACCGGATTTCGTCTTCTACTTGTGCTTACAAATTGTTAAAGAAACTAAATGTTTTAAAGTTTATGATTGCAATTGACCTTGTTCTTCAGTGCCCATGCTGAGCTAGTCACCACCATGTCCGTGGTGCGTTTAGCACGTGGGCTGCGCGAATTTGCACTCCGTCGCTTGTTCCGTGACCTTCAGGTAACTGTTGTGTAATTTGATTAGTTGCACTTTCAAATCGGTCCTATAGTGTTGCATTCGCTGCATTCAACCTACACAAACCTGGCTATACTCGAATCCAGACACCATGTCCAAAAATGATCAAATAAGTGTATCAAAATATCGTAACGAGTGCGCGAACAAACATCGAACTCGATGTTGAATTTGGCATTTTCTCAAACGTCCAACCCTCAGTCGCCCTGTGTTTGTTAACTAATGGCGTCCATGGCTCTCGTTCCAACAAAAGCACCACAAGTTATTTTGTGCGAACCTGGTGAGCTTAAAGTGGATACAAATGTGTGGACGGAATTTCGCAATGAAAAAGTACGCCCAGTTGTTCTATATAATTCAAAGTTGGCGGAGACTCATGCACAGTGAAAGGAACAGTGGTTTGTCCTGCAATTAATAAACCTCAAGTGAGTGCAAAGCAACCATTTGTTGTCCTCTGTTTACTACTAATCCTGGTTCATAATATTTTACTCTGCATCTGTTAATCATAGATTATGTTCTTGTGAAGGTTGGAGAAGCAAACTAAATTGTTAGTATCAAGTCTAATCCAGAATGTAGAAGTACCCGATGAAGTTTTTCAAACATGCCACAAGTTTTCACTTCTAATAATCCAAGTGGCCACATATGGATCATCTTAGCTTTAATATTCTGTGCTGGAAATAGAGTACCCAGTTCAGTTGCTGTTTAAAGTCACACATATTTGGCTGTTCACTGACTCGGCAGTCTTCTAATTTAGATATTTGTCCGCAAACGTGTCATTCACTAACCCGTCACTTCATGCTATTGTAGAATAATGACTTAAGTTTAAGAAATGCCTATGAGAAAGTCGCATTTGAAGACATGCCTCCTAAACCCCAGCCTCATGCAGCCACATTGAGTGGTTACATGGACGACGATAAGCACACAAGTTTCCGGTGTTCTCCCCACGATTAATTGATAATATGATTTCGCAGGAGGAACAGCGTATAATGAGAAGGTTCACAATTCTGACAGGTATTCATGCAACAGTTAGGCTTTAGCGTAGGCTTTAAATGAGATTGCAGATTGGCATGCGTTTAACCTGCAGTTATTTTTTAAAACGTTCTTGTTCTGAATCACATTTCAAGTAGGTTGTTTTAATGTACAAACCCAACGTGATTTCTTGGTATAAACATTCATCCTTTGAAGCGCAGTGAAAAGATTTGTTTCATACGCGTTTTAGTTGGTTTTGGCATGGTATTTAATCCTACATATTTTATAGAGGACCAAAGGTGGTGTAGCCTTCCTTTCCTGAAAAGTGTCTGCATAAATTTCCGCTAAAGGTGTTTCTTTTCCGTTTTATAAGCCAAATAGACGAACGAAAACGTTATTGTTTCATGACATTCTAGCTATTTGCCATCATTTCCCATCTCCAGCATAAGCTGCATTGCTTTTAACGGTTGTACGACATCCAAGACCACACTGCCGATATTTCTAGGCACACATTGAAGTAGGCGAGCGGTGCACAAACTGCAACTCTCTGCTATGATGTTAGCTGTTATAACATGCGACGTCTTTCGGTAAATACGGTAACTCCCAGGCGAAACTGATCAAGCCTTGTGCGTTTCTGACTCTCCATCACACCAACCAAAGCTATCAGAAATTAAGTGCATCACAACACCTTTTGCCAGTGATACATAGAACCGACTCTATCTATCCATGGTCTTATGTAAGATCGAAGTTTTTCTCCATCATGTATCCAAGCGCGCATGTGCTGGTTAAGATAAGAAGATCTGTGGACGAATTACGGATAAAATTACTAATTGCAAATGGATACCACCAGTGGCAGCTCATGTAAACGTATGCAAGCGTTTCTTATTATGGGACTGCAAAGTTATTTACCAAACTTAATCTATTAAAAGTTTATTTACGTTTCTTTTCCTCTCACAACTCATTCGCTGTTAACCATCCAACAGTTAGGGGTAGTGGAATGTGTCTCAATAACTTTTCATAATCAATCAACAAACAGTATTTTGAATCGGAGCGTTAGGCATGCAATACTCAGTCGCTTTATTAGGTAATGAAACAACGGTTTAATAAGTGTAACAACACTAAAGTTAAACCTGTCATGTAATGACGGTTTAGAAACTATTGCAGAAATTGCACTGAAAAGCATAGGTACTACACATGATCTTAGTTCACGGTGCCGAAAAGCTAACATCGCAAACTGAAGAATATCTCCCAGCAAATGTGCGTTCACTTCGGTGGACTCAGCTAGGGGCATGCATTACAAACTGTAAATCCGTAATTATTGAGGACTTTTAGGAAGTTTGTACAAACTGTTTCACCTTCCGGTAAACATTTTCAAACTACGAAAAAGGGAGTGTGTTGTTGAACGTGACCGAGAGTAAATTCGCTAGCAGACAATCATGTTTAGCATTATAGAAAGAGTCAAGTGAGACAGTGCAGGGATATGAGTGCGGAGTGATCTTAAACTTTCAAATCGACTAGCTTCGGAGCACAGGTGACGGATTACGGGAGTACATTACATGCCTGTAAAACACAGAAGGAAAAAATCCCACGGCATTCTAACTTGACGTTCTACCAGCTGAATACAGTGGCTGTCCAGCTTGTTGTTTTGACTAAGCTGCAGCATTTGTCGGATAACTACCAAAATATGTCGAGTCATAACGAAAGTACGTTGCGAATTATGTAGCCGAGCCAATGTCCCCCATAGCTCAGAAGCTTAATCTGCTGACTAGTTGGCATCTGCCCCAGCGGTCATGGGTTCGATACCCCAGTAGTGGACCGAGGGAATGCGCACCACTGATGAGACCAATCGAGCGAAACGCCTCTGGTGCATTTCCGAAGGAGGCTGTGCTATATAGCTGGTGAAATACTGGCATGAATACCTTAGAATTAAATTACAACGGAAATCCTGCCACTTACGAGTAACAATCGTTACAACTCCACGAAATCGCCGGTATCATCCGCTGTAGACCCCGAAGATTTTCAGTATCGCTCGTAGGGTAAGTATACAATACTTTGACGTTATTGGTTGCTTGATTAAAGGCATCTGCAGAACTATGAGATCTCCCTTCCGCCATAGCTGTCAGACCTGCCTTGCATATTTTACTTGTGGACTATGTATGCGCCAGGAACCTTCTGACGAATCGACCGGTAGAAGAGTCCTTAAGCACGCCACATAAGGCAAACGCTACGAGTGCACTTTTTCGCTGTGCTTTCTGCTTGATCAGATCATTCAAGGTCATCCTTAATCCAAATTCCTAGGTATCATTTTTGGGAAGATATTTAAAGCTCCTGGTTGCCATGTTTATAGGAGTATATTAGCTGGTGCCTTAAGTACAGTACCCCACACTGTTCAACACTGAACCGCAACATATTCTGGTTTGAGCAGGCAAGCACTATCCATATACACTAGAAGTAGGTGCATTAAATATGTTCCATCACTTGATTGGATCAGCGTAGAGTAATCAGATAGAAATTATTACTAGAAAATATCTGCTACTGTTCAAGAACAATCGTGACTCCAGTACCGAACACCGTGGTACTCTGAATTTAATTTGACGAGATCTGACAGGAAGATATCTTCTGAAGTACCAGTGTAGATGATGGTGAGTTTGAAAAGAGGTAGGTAATTGTCTAACCATCGAATGTTTTTGAAAAGTTGAGATAAATACATCAAATCATGCTCCAGTGTTTAATTCGCAGGTCTAGTTGGATCGGCCTAGCATTATGTTGGTTATGAATAACAAAGTTCGTCGAAAACCATGGCGTTATTGTCCAAGCTAGGCAGATTCATCCAAATTAGTCGTTCGCACATCTACGGCAATAGATTGTATCACCAATGAAAGCACCCGTATAAGCGTTGTAAGACTGCAGTTGGTTGGATGGGAACGACTACCACTAGAGTAACATTATAGATTAATCCTCACATGTTCCCACTCCACGGGTGCACACGTTTTGTCAGAACGACGCTTGAAGATTTAAGCCAAATGCTAAGTTTCGCTCTTGTCTACTACCGTAATTAGATTTGGGTGAGCATTGTCTACTCCGAGAGTGCTGTGCATACACATTCACTATGACTTCAAGCAGTATGGTTAGTGCCGTAAAGGTGTGTGAGTTTCGGTTGTGGCGCAAAAACTGATATCGCGGGATGGATGCTATTTGGATCGGTGTCCAATGGCTGCAATTACATATGATGGGGATGGCACTCACTATTAATGTATACCACACTGTGGATCGGTACTATCCTGGCTCCATGACGGAAGCTCTATTTGAACTAAGTAATGACAAATAAGCTGAGTTGCTGATAACCGTCAATCATGACTGACTACCATTTCTAGTATACGGATTGATGTTGACAAGTTTGTTCCTAACAGGCTTCATGATCTGGGTAGTGAAATCTGTCAGGCGTGTTTCTATTAGTACGAACATAAGAACTCCAACTCCATCGTTTGAGTCACGGCTGAATATAATGTCTGTGGCATCGTCAAGATGACGGGCCTAATTGAGCATACACTTCGCGCGCACTTTCTCAAAAATTAACAAGCTTGAATTAACGATGATAGACCATAGTAAACACAAATACATAGGTCAGCGTTAGTTCGGCCAGCCGCCATCGTTTGATAGCGTCATAGAATGCTGAGATTAGGCCAAAATTACAATGCTGGTCATCACATGGCACCTTATAATAAGTATTCTGTTCATGGCACAGTCAATTCTAATTCCTGGCAGCTGCCCTTCATCCATCGTGGCTTAGTAGTCTTGATTATGAATGCGCAATCATAGGGCCGCCGACTCTATCCCCACAGGGAACGACTGGATTGTGCACTGCTGACGAGACCTGAAGGGACAAAACGGCCATGCAGTGTTCGTCTGACAGCGTAGCTGTGACTAATATCTGCTAAAAATCTCAATCCGAATCCCACCTGTCAATACTCCATGGAAATAACTAAAACCAAAGCAGTACCTTAAAAATGTTACAGTGAATACTGATTTCAAGCTAAAAGAATACTTTGTTTCCCACCCCACAGGAACAACGGTCTTGAGAATAAGTCTGTCTGTATGTGCACTGCTTTTGGTAACATTTTCAAGCGAGCGAAACCTGTAAACACTACGTTACTGGGGACAAGCTACAGCTAATTCGTCTGCATAAAGTTACGATATCTAACTTCCATATCCGTAAGTCTGTTTAAATGAAGTATACTGGGACAACGCTTGCTCTTCGTTGGCAACCAAACGTTTTCACATTTTAGCGTACAAGCCAAAACGTGCCTAAAACAATGCTACGCACTTCCCGATTGACGATATTAGTACGATAATAATTTATTTTTCATTTCCCTCAAAAAACTTCTAAGAAGAAATAACCGTGGAGTTACGTGCATGGCGGTGCATTCAACTCGGCCGTTGCCTTTTTCGCCAAACACAAATCTTACTTTATCTATTTCAGTTATGTCAATACTGCAAGCATACTCTGTTATATGCTCTATCCAAACATGTTCTATGGTCAATGAGACTGTTATACTCTACTCACCTTTAAATCCAAAGGCTGTGATACCACGCACGAGTTCCGAACAATTATTCATGCAGGGGACAGATCCCGTCAACATATTGGTTTTAATAAAACTGCCGATATAATCGGATGAAAATCCCAAATATTCACTAGAGCATTTTGCAATTAGCGCTCTGGAAAGCGGAGCTTCTTACTCGAGTGATGAGCTTGCTTGCCATTTTATTTTTGTATACTTATTTGTAAACTTTTGCACTTTTGATGGCTCTAATTTAGCCCATTTGAAGTTAAAACGTAAGATGCTGAAGATACACCTGTCGTGGTATATGAAGCTAACCTTTAGTTAATAAACCGCTTCAACGGGCTGATCACAATTCGGTCGAAGATTTGTGCGTATAATAAAGGTAGCGGTATTCCTTGACTGATTTCGAGTATTGCTGTGTTAGGAAGAAGTTGCTACTTGATCGTTCGACTGCAATACCATGCGTATTAAACGATTCCCTCCTATTTAAGAAGTCTAAATTTATAACTTGTTCATCTATTTTTCAGCGATGCTGTATGTGAATTTATTCGCACTTCTGCTGACGCAGCAGCTGTTGGCAAGCATAGAATCCGCCGTCATACCTGTTTTGGACAATGTGACGAGAAATTCCTCTGGTGTCGGGATGTCATTCGAGGAAGAAATGGTGGATACCTATGCAACCTCTCTGGGCTATGGCTATAATGATTCCGTGATGATGCTACCTTGGCCCGAGACTATTTCGGTGAACGAATACTACAATGAGACCCAAACGCAAGCAGAAAAACAGTTATTCCACACACTTACAAATGAGGTAGAAACTTTAAATTATTTTTTAAGAACCATGAATTTATCGTTTTTTATTTTTCCAGAAAAGGCATCATAATCTAATACCAATAAGACAACTCACTGCTTTATTTAGTGAGCAGGGTAAAAGCAAACGCTATCCATCTGCAACTTTCACTCACTTTCAAATCTGTGTATGAATTTATGGCTCAGGCAACCTACGCAGCGCAGCTTCCTATAACGCGTTAACTAGATTCACTAGTATCGTCCAAGGGGCGTGTGCTGGAGTGATTTACCCAAAATACCTCGGCGCCATCACATTTTAACTTCAAGTATCTCAGGACCTTGCATCGATCGTTCGTAGGAATCTTGGGCAGTGCAACCAAAAGGCGTCATACCTAGTTACATAATTATTGCGCAACGATCTACAAATACATAAATATGCCCTTACGCCATATGGAACATTTCAAGATCCGAGAGTCAAGCGTTGCAATGCAAGATATGTTATCACTGATCGGATACTCGAGTAAACATACGCTACTTATCCTCATGCTACGGTAGATTTTACACATTACGTATTGGGAAATGCTCATGGAATAGAAGTAATGACTTTTGTTGAGGAACACGAAAAAATAATTTGCCAGGAAAAAATAAAATTAAAAGGGTCCGTGGTTACAATATTGAGATTTCTTGCTTTACGAACACACTGCGTTAGTCCAAAGTGGTATGATTTTAAGCAACAGCGCAAAGCCATTAACTGGGGTTGTCATCTCGGAATTTTCAGCGGATGTTATCGAAGACAACTTGGCGATCTCATATTACCGCATCAGATATTGAGCGACCCCAACCTCGTTTGCCGCCATTTGCTGAAACAACCACCACAAGCAGCTCAGGGTCAACTGTTAAAAAACTGAAGGAACATAAAGCCGTCTAGAGTTTCGACGGAATTACTTTTCCCTTCGCGCTTGCCAACTCTAGAGTGCACACCCAGACTCAGTTGTATCCACCCCTACTTTAGACGTTTTCATAAAACCATTAAATGTTGCTCTTAGCTTCCAGCAATTTGTTAGCGAAACTCCTCTATTGTGGATCACGCCAAGGATACTTTTCTACAGGATTTATGTATCAAATGGACCCAAGAGAGCGAGCATATTTTACTTTTCTCACGCTCTGTATCAATCACCACTGCACCTCAGTGTTTTTGTGAACGTTTAGGCTCGACATTTTTTAATTGTACACAGATGTTAGTTATCAAAGTATTCATCTTGGCAGACGTTCGGTAGATGACCCACATATATTTTGATTTAATCGTATTCACCCCAACCATCCAACGGGAAGTGTCAAGCACTTGCTTGTATCCAGTGATAAATCATTGTTCACTGAGGTACTGAATTTTTTTCCAAGCTGTATCTCAGGTGTTGCTAACACGCTACTTACTATGACGCATTGATGATGCCAACTAAATTGTTAGCGAACCCTATAGAGCCACATTGCTCAAATATTCCTCCATTTTGGCCATCTAAGGCAATTTGCATTTAGTCGCTTACTCACGTCATGTTTCATGTTAATCTGCATACTACAGGGGCTACATTTGCATTCCTTTTGCAGACTGAACCTTTAACTACGTCCTCCTCCGAGGAAGTCCTATCCGAGTCGGCCTACGAGACAACGAACAATGGCACTGAGGATGAGGATTCCTTGGTTAACGAAGAAGATCAGGTATTGTTATACCATTGCGATACTATCCGTACTGCTTCACCGTAGTACACCACAGCTTTTATGCGAAAATTGAGAGTGCGCTAGCTTCTATATGCTCAGCCCTCTAGGTTCCATAAAAGAAATTTGTGATCTTCACTACGCAACCAAGCTTCACTGAATGAATGAAAGGTTATATAAATACCAAGGAATTTTATAACCTTGTATAATACAAGAATAGCTTTTCATTCATCGCATGCACCTCTGTCAAACTAATGCTAACCACAATTTTATTTAATTCCAAATAGATTGTGCAAATGTCTGCAGTCTAGAGCCAAACACCATTCCTACATAAGTTAACAACTATCTGCCAAATGCCCCCCACGTTTTCCATAACATTATGGCCAGTATGAACTGGATTTTATCGACTTAAACTGCGCATTTTAATGGATTAAACATCCACCAAAAATGATCCATACGTTCTAGTAGGCAATGCTCTATTATAGATACTGTGACCCGTGCTATTGCACTTGTATCATACTACTTCCATTGAAGCAGTAGCTTTACACGGATATACAAGTTGAGACGGTCTTTATAGTGGAGTAAGATGAATCACAACCAGCGCTGCATGTTGCTCTTAAAATTCCAATCAACAGACAGATGTAGCTCCAGTGTGAACCCAGACACATGCATTCACCATAGAGTAATTGTAGATACTTTTCTTCATTTAATAAAGCTGGTGAACAAATTAATTCAAGGGACAGAGCTAAGGAATAGCACTTTATTTACCTCGCAATTTACGATCATCTTGTTATGGGTTTATTCTAGTTTTTCACACCACTGGGGAGTGTCATGAGTCTTGTCAGTCACAGATTAGAATAAGAAGTTCTATGATACATATATATATTGCCCGTTTGTAGTGCTTAACTGGACTTCACTAATAAGACAACTATCCAAAATTCTGTTTTAGCAGTGTATGTCATCCCCTTGGAAATTTCTCGGATATAGAAGCAAATGTTGGTAGTTCAGGTGGTTCAGTTGGTGGACTGAGTGTTCGCTGAGCTCGGCAGTTTATCTGCAAACGTTTCGTCACCACCAGAGGTGACATCGTCAGTGCTCGTTTATTTAGCAGAGCGGCGCGGTACGAAGCGTCAGTGAGTGTGAGTGATCGATCTTCTAGCCGCTAGTCTGAGTTTGGATTGTTCGACGGTCACATGACCATCGAAATCCATCTCTGATTCTCGCCTCATATCGCGCGCACGCGTGCCCCTTCCTTTGTCATCGTTTGAGGCAGTTGTCTGGTATTCAGTTCCTTTGGATTTAATCTAAGAATTCGGTGACCTTTCATCCGTAGCGCTGTATATATAGCATCTAATTCAACACGTCGGTTTATTGAATTGTCTGTAGAATACAGTGCTTCCAAGAACTCTCTAGCTTGCCTCAAATTTCCACGCACTAGGATCTTAACGTTCTCTAGATCGAAGTAGTGGCTTTCTTGGTCTTCATGTATGGAAATCAATGAATGCGGCTCGTGGCTTCGTATGGCCATGATGTGTTCGTTGATCCATGTTGAAAGTTTCCTTCCAGTTTGCCCGATGTAGTCTTTGTCACACACTGTACAGCTAATTTTGTAGACGACATCATTCTGACTGCCTTTTTTGACTTTGTCCTTCGGTCTTGAGAGCAATCTATGCAAAGTACTAGTTGGTTTGTGGGCTACCAAGATTCTATGTGATCGTAGCAATCTTGACGTTAGTTCCGACACGTTCTTGATTTAAGGAAGCGCTACCCGTTTATCTATGTTTTCCCACTGGTATTGATGCGCCCTCTTCTTTAGGCTTACTCTGAGGAAGTTCCTTGGCTACCCGCTGTTTTGCATTACCCGGTATAGATGGTTCATTTCCTTCATCCTCAATTCTGTCGTGCTGCAGTGTGTTTCGGAGCAATTGAAAAGGTTTTGAATGCAGATTTTCTTGTGGTTCAGTGGATGGTTGCTGTGGTAGTTTAATATTTGGTCTGTGTGGGTCTTCTTTCGATATGCATATGTCTGAAGTATTCTGTCAGTGTTTCTTTGAACCAGTACATCTAAGAATGGTAATTGGTTGTCTTTTTCGAGTTCAATGTTAAACTTGTTATCCTTCAATGTGTTGTCGATTAACTCATGGGTACTCTGTATGGAATCTCGTTTGATGATGACAAACGTGTCGTCCACGTACCGGAACCATAATTTTGGTTTGATTAACTGTATTGTGATGCTCTCCAGTTTTTGCATCACAGCTTCTGCAATAAGTCTTGAGATGGGTGATCCCATGGGCGTTCCTTTCAGTTATTGATTTACTTGCCCATGAAAATAAAAATAATTAGTCATGCAGAGATCCAAGAGTTCCCAGATGCTCTCCGGCTTGAGGTTTCCAATTGTGTTCGATTGATTTCGAAGTAATTCCATCATGGTTTCTTTTGCAAATTCGTGACCGATACATGGGAATAGTGCGGTGACGTCAAACGACAACAAGATGTCATCTCCTTCTATTGTAACACAGTTCAGTGTGTTAACGAATTGTTCCGCATTAATGATGTTTTGTTCAGAGCAGGCAATTAAATGTTTTAATTTCTTCCACACGCACGTTGTCAATTTGTATGATGATGTTCCTGGCAACGAGACGATTGGACGCAATGGGACTCCGTCGTTGTGTAACTTTGGCTGTCTAAAGAACCTTGCAATGCTTGTATCCTCAGCTTTCATCTTCCATCGCTCCCGCTTAGTAATCGCACTCGTTGCTTGTATTTTCTTCAATGCTGTATTGATTTGGGTAATCAGTTTCGTACTGGGATTTTGATCTTAGGTGGTGGTGCCGGAAAGGAGTTGTTTGGCACTTGCAACGTAATCTTGTTTATCCATTATTACTGCCATGCGTCCCTTGTCTGATGACAGCATTACAATATTGTCTTCCTTTTTAAGCTTTCTGAGTGCTTTCCTTTCTTCTTTTGTAAGAGTGTGTGTGAACTTGTTGCGAGTTATCACAGGGACGATTGTTGGTCTAATTTGCTGCCGCCATTCTTTTGCCAATCCGTTTACGTCCAAAACCTGTTCTAGATTAGCCAAATAATCATTATATTATGCATCTTTTGCTTTAAAGTTTAGTCCTTTGATAAGTATTTTCTCCTCCGTAATGCTGAGTTGTCGGCTAGACAAATTTTTGATCCATCTTTTACTGTTGGTGTGGTCAAACTTTCTCGTAAGCTTATTCAACTTGATTTGCAGTGATAAGTTACGCTGCTTTCGAATGCCGTTTACTCGACGTTGAATCGCGGATTCAAGTTCTGCAAGTTTTTTAGGCCCTCGCAAAAAGACAGTCAGTTTTATTGTCATTTTTGACCTTTTCACAATTTCGAACGCCATTACTTGCATCTGTTATCATTAATTAGACCATACGCGTCCCGTACTGCCTTATAAATGCCCAAGCCTCTGGATGATCTAACGGCAGTCTGTGGTTCAAACTTGGTGGCAGAACATTCTGTCTCAGACATTCGTGGCGGAAGTATAGCTGATGGCGTGTGGAAGCTCGTCGACAGGCACAGTTTTCTCAACGGCTAGCTTGTTGAAGCGCTGTACACCCGAATAGCTGCGATACTGAAGCACATGTTGGTAGCTCAGGTTGTTCTGTTGGTGGTCCGAGTGGTAGCTGAACACGGCGGTTTATCTACAAATGTTTCGTCACCAGCCGAGATTACATTGTCAGCGGGTGTTTATTTAACATAGCGGCGCTTTCTTTTTTATTCCAATGAACTTTGACATTCACAGGGTGCATATTTCAGCGACATACAATAACATTTTAACTGGTCTAAGACGGCTATTCCTGTGAGTGAAAGCACATCGTAAGCAATCTTCAAGGGTGATGTCCACTCAAACGGGATAAGCAAATGGATATGTAACTGATTCATGGTGGCAAATTCTTCGATACAACAGTAATAACTTTTTATGGCGGTCACAATTATACATACACATCGCCTTTATATGCTGCACAAATTGGGCTGGTCAATCACCCGGAAGGCCCTTTCTATAGACGAGAAGATTCCCACGCTTGCAGCTCGACTACATATGCATCGAGAGTTTTACGTTTTATAAGTCCTTCGGAGAGCACATTATTTTTGATTCCTCACAACAATATGTGTCACTGACATTAGTTTAAATCGTTAATACCGGGGCGTTAACACTCATTTACATAGCTTTACTGAAAGCCACTTCCTAACAATACTGGATAACCAGGCAAATCATCACAACAAGATTCGACTTAACTTGATCATGAAGTAACAGGACTTGATTGGAATTGAAGCAGCTTTCAGGGAGAACAGAAATAAACAAAAATATCTAGCCCATCGCTGTAGAATGCTAGTTAATTATAATGATCTACCCTACAGCCAAACCATCGTCTTCAGTTGAAATGTTGAGTCAACAATAGGAATGCTCTCAGCTTGGATAGATAATTACACATTTTAAGTTTAGATCATGCGCTTATACTGAATTCCATGGTATTTAAATTGAGACAACCGTTTTAAGAATCCGGTGTGAATACTTGATAGGTTCCCCATAGGGAGATTTTTAACCTATTTAACCGTGTCATGCGTGATAGTCTTGTGCGATGCCACCGAACATGTTCTCATCTTCCTATGTTCCTTGCTTTTGTTTGTAAAGTGAAACGGGGTTGGTTGTTGTGCTCCATATTTCGACTAGTACTCTGGTTGGTAAAGAGATTACGTTTCATGTTTCACTAAACAAACGAACGGAAGTCGAGCTTAGTGTCTACGTGGCGTAACACATTCGAAAGTGAAAGGACTCAAAATTGTTAAGTCGGTCAACCATAAATGAGTACATGAATATTAAAGAATTTGTGGAGGACCGAACAAAAGTGTACAGTTAAATAAGTGAGGTAGAATGCACTTAACCATTTCGACAGCTATGCTCGAGCAACTTGGCCAGGGATATTAAGCATCGGAATCGCAAACACAACTTGGCCCTGAGCCAGGACAGGATTAGTGCTGTAAACAAAATTCCAACTAATAGACCCATTGATCCATTATGGATTTGGCAGACGGTTGATACATTTGAGTTCTTTTTTTAGACGGAGCAGCTGACCGAAGTAACTGAATTACAATCGTCTCTGACTAGGAATATTTCCGTTTCCGAGGATTCCAGTTACGAGTCCTCCACGAATTCAGCACAAAACCAGGTAGGTGCTGAGCACTATTTGAACATACCACTCTTATTTCTTATCCTACTTACTACTGATATCCCAAAGTTGTTGGAATCTGTACTTGTCCAGTAGAGGATAGTATATAATGGAATCATGTGGGAATCGCTAATGAGGCAATGGATATAAGCAAGGGAAGGTGGCCAATGTGATGAAGGTATGTACGCAAAAAGTCAGATGCCCTTACACTGTGGATCCTACTAAAATACTAGTTAGTGCGGGACAAGAAGACAATGTCGGATTGGGAATATCTAAGACACGTATAGCTTACTACGACCTCATACGTAGGTACATCCACGGTGGCGTTCAGAAATCGGACGTTTTATAATAATCAGCGAAGTCTGCTCATTTCACACCACGTATTACGACATATGCTATGGTTGCCATTCAGACTAGCATAAGTTCATTTGCGCAATTTTCATGTGAGTGTTCTGAAAGAAATAGAACGTTTTGTATTTGCACATAAATCGAATCTGTATGCAAGCAATACAATGAATTAAAGCAAGGTAGACGCTGTGGCTTGAAACTCTTACTCACAAGCATCACAATTTATAGAAAATCCTTGGGAGTAGCATTGAACCACATAGCTCCCACTCAAGGACTAGGCAGCCATTTTGTCTTCCTGGGACCCGGCAGTATTGTGCATTGTTTGTTTCCATCAGGAACGAATCCATGACCTATCCAACTGGTAGATAATGCGATGAACCTTGAATAGAAACATAAAGTACTCAGATATTTCAATCCTTACCCCCACTCCAATTCCCTCCGTCGTCATGCATTCAAGCAAAGAAAGTGTAATCACCGTCAACTAATATGAGCGTTGTTACAAGTGCTAGAAATACTTAAATCATTATGCAAATTGTCTTCTGAATCTCCTATTTGGTCGTATAAAGGAAAATTATTGTTTCACGTCTGACGTATTTATATAAAGACCTCAGCATTCAAGATCAGTATACTCAGAACCTTGCATCCGTTACGACGCTGCATTACAGATATTACTTTAGTCCATATGAGCAACACGTTTGTTTAAACCGTTGTACACCTTACCGTTGCGCAAACAGTAACATAATATTGCGTATTCTGAATAGATCGTATGAAGTTTTTAGTTATAGCCAGTATGTGGATCCCGCAAAAGTGAATTTTAGGTTTACAGTTTCCTGTTACATATCATAGTCAAATAATGTTACACCTGTGAACTAGAATAAAGCAGTAGGTCAAAACATGAGCACACGGTAGCTGAATATGATATAAAATAAATGTCAGTATCCAAGCCTGAACCGGCAATATTTGCAATATTTGCATCTTAAAAATGCGACCGAAATGGCTGGCGAAACGTCTGACTCTCATCTCTCGGGTCTTCCTCCATTTGAAAACTATACTTCAGCTTTTATATAGCCGCTTACTAACGTGCTCCCTACTTATCTGCATACTGCAAGGGGTTAATTTGCGCTACATTTGTAGACTGAACATCTGACTACGTCGTTCGAGGAGGAACGCCTATCCGAGTCGGCCTACGAGACAAAGAACAACGGCTCTGATGATGGGATTTCCCTGTTGAAAGAAAACCAGGTATGGTTTCACCACTGCGCTACCATCCGTACGGCTTCACCATTATACGCATCAACGCTCTATTCGAAATCGGAGTGTGTGGTAGTTTCTATGTGCTCAGGTGTCCTTGCTTTTATAGAAATGAAATTACGTGATCCTAGCTAAACGACCTAGTTTTACTTAGTGAAGGAATGTTTATATAGATGATTGGGTTGAATGAAATATTTTGGGTCTCAAAAAAGCGAAACGCGATACAGGGTGTTCGATGAATTTATATTTCATCATTATCAGCTTTAGGCGCGACACACTCGCACCAGCGAGGCTGAAGTCCCTTTAATC